TGAAATACATGGTCAAAAAGGTAGTGCTGAAATCGGAACGATTTTACGTCATTATTTAAAAAGTCAGCTTGTTTTTAGACACGTGTGACGGCCAAAACCGTAATCATCGTATTGCCGCCATTTTATTGTGGATTATGATGCAAGACACACAAATAGACATAATAGAACACAAGTCCATAGAAACTTCGAAGAAAGATTTTGACATCTACTGTATGTATGACTGGATAAACGTTTTTAAACGAGTTAAGTCTAAAAAAGTTTATAAATATGAAGGTAAACAAGTTACAAAGAACGCGTACCATGTTAAAGAATTCAAATACAGTGAATTTAAAGATTTGAAGGTATTGGCGGATACGGTAATAATAATAGAAATAGATACACAGAAGGTGAAAAAGTGAACTGGCTCAAGATTAAACGAATGAAGTACCTATATGAAAGGAGACGATAAGATTTACTATAATTATGACATGTCTAATGAGTTTATAATATTGGATGTTACTACATTCATGAAAACCAACTTGGGCAGAATTACGACGAAAGGTGTCGTGTGTCGTCGACCTTATGTCGCAAACCATGCAACCAGAAACAAGCTTAAACAACAAGAAGTAGTTAATGAAATATCTATGCAGCCATCCAGTTCAGGAGTTATCTTTCCAACCTTACAGCAACTGTACGGCGGTCCACTCCCTATATCCATAGCTAAAAAGAAATACCTAATTAATCTTTGCAATATTTTTTTTAAATATAGAATAAGGGTGACAAACGAGCACACAGTCCACCTGATAGTAAGTGGTTGCTGTGGCCCATAGACATCTACATCTATCGTCGTTTGCGAATTAAAATGCAGACACACCTTTCTAAAAGGCCGGCAACGCATCTGCAATTCCCCTGGTGTTGCGGTTGTTCATGGGCGGCGGTAGTCACTTATCATCAGGTGAGCCGCATGCGAGTTTGCCCCCTATTCTATAAAAAAAAGATGCGTAGTCAGCCGTGAGGACTAAGATAGAATGCCTCTTTTCTAAGTAAAAAGGGCCTCCGGTTCTCTACACTCACCATACGAAATACAGCAACATTAAGCTGCTATTTTACGCTGGTATTCTGTGCGAGCGTGGTCCTTCCCCGGTCAAGCCGACTCATTCGTGCTACAACTGTACTATTAATATAGCTGGGGCATGGCTCTACCACGTATCAAAAAAAATGTGAGTATCATTGGTTGTTCCGGTCTATGGCTACTGAAGCTAGCAGTGTCGATCGATTGCCAGATGCAACTCTCTCTGACACTGATGACACATGTTCTCTGTCTAGCTTAAACATAGTTATTATTTTCAAAAAAAGGTTTTGTCAAATTATTGTTTTTTTTAATGGAATCTATATCTTGACATACTATAAAACAAAGTCCCTTCCCGCCGTCTGCCTTTCTGTATCTGTACATATATATGTAAACTTAGATCTTTTAAACTACGCAACGGATTTTAATGCAGTTATCATTAATAAATGATGGATTAAAGAGGAAGGTTTATACATATAGTACTTCCCTAAATTCCTACGGAACGGGATATATGCGGGTGAAGTTGTGGGGCAAAGCTAAACGCGCTAATCGCTGGAACGGGTGGACCGATTTTAACGGTTCTTTCACTGGAAGATAGCTTAGGTTATAAGGAATAACTTAGGTTATTTAAATTTTCTCATTTCCCACGAGTACGGGAACTACGCGGGAATTGCTGGGCGCGGCAGTTAGTACGTACAAAATAAGATAACATCTACTTTACCTTCAGCCAAAAGCAACTAAAGATATTTATTTTACAACTGTACTGGCTATAGATGAACTAAAACGATTTCTGTCTAGATGATTCTTACTATTCAAAGCAAGTAATTAAGTAACAAATGCCAATAGAGCTGCCAGAAGGGTAATTTTGGTTTGGTAGTTTTTTTTTTACATTCAGGAAAAACCAACTAAATGATCTCGTTACCGGTTATTTTCTTCTTTTTGTTGAAAATCTACGGAGTTTCTTTAATTATTAACCTACTTAACATTTCTTAAATAGTTTCTTGTTTATAAAAACGACTAGCGTTTAAAAATTGACATCGTTATAATTAATTTTGATGCCGTTAAAATTACAAGTAATTATATCTCAAAAATGTTTCGCTCAAATTTTGGTGCAGATAATCGGTTTATGCAATAAGGGTACGATATGTAATATATTGAACTTGCATGTAAACAAAAATTCATTTAGTCATAGTTAAAACACAATCGTATAGGTATATTAGCACAAAGGGGAGGAAAAATATGATAAGCAACAACTTAGTGCAAAAGATCATTCACGCAAGGTAAAAACTAAGAATATAAAGATAAAAGTTTGAAAATATAAAGTATATACAAGGTTTGCAGAGAAGGTTCAGAATAAATAATATAGACAAATGGTGAAGAAAAGTTAATTAAAAAAATCTCAAACATCCTGTACTTTTATGTAAATTGCATTATTCTGCACACAATGCATTATTTTAACTGACTTTACTGCGCACGCACACATTCGTAAGGGTTGATCGGTAAGCAAAAAAATTTTGTTGCCAATAAATCACATTCAATTTGGGATACTTTCAAATAAAAGTAGAAGCCTTATTTACTCGTATTTCCACATACTGCAATAACGGTAATCGAATGTTATTAAAAAACCAAACACGTCACTGACTTGTTTGAACTGCTAATGAAAACGTAATTTGGCACTGTGAAGAAAGTATTGAAAAAGAGATAAATATTACCAACCGACGAATATCTGTAAAATTTGAATAGCCATTTCACAGTTAGTATGGTGAATACGGGATATTCTAAGTTTTAAATAATGGTGAACAAATTTTATAGAAAGAATGAAATATCCATTGAAACTCTTTATTTTTCGGGGTATAAATAAATAATAAGAATTATACTTCAAATAACTATTTTGTATAAAGTAACGTAACGTAAACATGTCAAAAATATTAATAAACTTCTTATAAGTGGATTAAACTAACATGACGTTTACATAAGTATCTTTCCTAATATACCAGCCTATAACAGTCCATTAGTGAACATAGGCCTTTCCCATTACAATGGACAAACAGGACAATTGGGTCAAGCATATAATCGCCACACTTGGCAAACCGATTGGCGATCACAATTATTGTTGATTGCATACCTTCATTCGCCGCATATTGAAGACCTATAGCCACCAGAAAATTTACAGAGACTGGTAAAGTAAACATAATATATTAAATCTTAAACTAAATATCACAAAAATTAAAATGATATTAACAACAAAATTAAAAAAGTGATTAGGTACTTAAACATTATATTTTTTTTTATTTAAAGTTCATTGCATTTCAATCTATAGTCTTAGAATAGTTTATTGTAATTAACAGTATTCACTACCCACTACATATAAATAAGTAAGTGAATATACAATTATAAAGATTATCATAATATTCTTAAATTTACACAACACTGAAATTTAAATATATTTTTTAATAATTTGAATTAACCCCTTTTTTCAGTCTGTTCACTATTAATTAAATCCGTAAGTAACATTTTTTTTTATTTTCAAAGCTTTTAGAGGCCAAGAATACATTTCTTAAAGAGTATACATAATATATCGCTTTTTTTAAACTTTGATGTTGAAAAACACGACTACCGTAATATGATCTATTGTCCATGAATTTTAATAAGTGAATGCAGTATAATGTTAACACGTATACATCTAGCCAACTAAAATTAATAACTTTCTTGAGATCTAACTTTAATTGTATTAAGGCAAAAATGTGTTATAAATATAATTCTATGGTAAATAATAATTCTAAAATGAATGTGTCACTTAATATTATATATATAATTAATATAAAGAAAAAATATTCGAATTAGTATTAGTATATGGAAAAGGATTAGATATAAAAATGTAAATAAAAGTGTTACGACGGTATAGTCGACATCAAAAGGTATATACGTCGCCTATTTCTAGTTTTTTTGTTCCTTTCATATATTTCATAAAATTGAAGTGACAAGCGGACTAAAACTCCATCTGATGGTAACTGACTACTGCAGCCCATGGAAACCTGTAACCAACTTCAAATAAAGAAGGCTACAGAAGCGTTGTCACCTCTGAGGACCAAGAGAGAATGCCTCACAGCCAGTTGTATTGGCTCCCTCTGCATACCACAACAGCAATGTACGCACTTCTACTTGCCAGCAGCAAAACGTTAGAGGGATACCTACCCAGAAGTACGCCTAGGCCCTATTAATAAACGTTACTCAGCTCAAGTATACGCACTTGAGTACAATCTTGAGGTTATGATCTTATTAATAAACATATCTCAAGATGCAGTTTAGGTTTACGATATCAGCTGAGTGCCACACTGATTAATAAACGAAACTCGACTCTCAAGTGTGTGTACTTGAGTGCAAGTCACAGAACAGTATTCCTAAGTACAGCGTTTTGAGATACTATTTTTATGTATTTATTAATTAGCAACGATCTTGAGTTGCTGATATTGTAATGAGGGCGTATCAAATAATTACGCACTTGAGTTCGTCGTTGAATAACGGTTATTAATACGGGCCCTAGACAGAAAAAAGTCCTACCAGCTAGATACGTAGAAATGCTTCTCCTATACACAAAAAAGTAGTCCTAGTCCTACCACCTTAGACAATATTATTATAAAAAATTTGCAAAATATTCAAAACTTTTAACGGCTTAAGTCAAATATTTATCGTTAATAATAATAATAATATTGTCACTTAAAAATAGAGGCCTCGGTGTTTCTCTTTTAAATTTAATATATTATGATTTATGACACAAAACGCTGATCAATGCAAAAACGAAGGCCTACTAATTCCATCATTAAACGCTATTTTAATGTCGCCGCAAACGTTGTAAAGTTTTCAGATCGCGTTCGTTAATCCTTAGTAAATATCTCCCCTCCTTCAGTTCGACCATTCTCAATACCGTTGTATTGGACACGTAGCCCCCTGGTCATCCATCATAGGCGCAAACCAAACATATATTCGCAAGCGCCATGGCAGAATTCTGTCTAACTAACGGGTTTGAATCTTTTATCAGCAGCAATAAGCGAGTGCGCGCACTCTTCGTTATGTCCGGGTCTAAATCTGTGTCTGCGAAAGTCTTCTCTTTGAGGCGGTAGAGTTCTGCGTAGAGAAGTCCTGAAAATACCGAAGTTTGAATTCACACATCACATCAAGAAGCATTTAAGTTCACTCAAAATAGACCTTTTTGGTGAATATATAACATATACATCAGCTGGCTGGTTTTACTTGGAAAATTTGTACATACTTCTAACTAGATCCCGACTTTATACTAAGTAAAACCACGCCCACTGTGATGCTGTCAGTGTTCGTCCTGTGCGCATGTGTGTCGAATATCGCAAATCGTTGTATTTTCGTAGTATTGAGAAGAAAAGGATGAAGTGTTATGTTTTATCATGTAAAAACTACTCAGATAGACGCTCTAATGCTATGGATGGTATCACATTTCATTTGTTACTTATTTTATAACTAATTTATTAAAAAGGTTCTATAATAACCTCTGCGTCGGCTTTCAAATATAATTAAATATATTCGACAATAGATGGCGACACTTTGTGTCATGAGAACTAAAAATATAAAGGTCTCAGTCTCAGCTCAGTCTTGGTAAAATAATCATACGAAGGTATTGAAATTTGTTTTGCATTCAGTCCTAAAAAATTTTAACCGCCAAAATATTATTTTTATAGTTTTTAAAATCATTTTGTGAACAGGCCGCCATCTATCGTCAAGGTAGCTAAACATTGCAACATCGATATGGAACGATGCGAGTAGTTTTACTATTTATCGGTAGATGGAAAATAGTAAAGTGGCCGGGGCTTAACATCCCCTCACCCGACAAATTGTCACGCATTGTTATATAGTGAAATCTAATTACAACACCTCCTCTTTGTATTTGCTCCGTGCGCCAGACAGTGTGTACGAACGAGAGTGTATGACAGCGAGTGAACGAGAGAGTCAGTGAGTATGTCTATGCTACCATTCACCGAATTTGTTGAATGAGACGTTAAAGAAAGATACAAATTAGGTATATCGATGATATAACGTCTATTTTTACAGCCTAAACTAGTTAGTGATACTGATGATCGAATTTAGCTAAAAACTAATCACAACAGAGCAGAGATCAGCGATCTGTAAAATGAACGAGCAGGTACAAGATTACTTGATACGCACTAGGGTTTGGGTTCCGGGATGTCTCGTGTGCCGAAGTCCCGAGTCCCGGGACTTTCAGGTCGAGACTCGAGACGAGACAAGATTGTCGAAATTGTTATGTAATCATTTTTATTTTCAAATAACTAAAAGAGCCATCTGTTAGTTTAATGAATAATTACTGAGTACACAACACAATAAATGCGTTTGTCTCAAAACACGGATATTTTTACCTCGAATATTAGTAAAACTGCACTAACTGGCTTGAAGAACTGTATTATAGGCTTTTCGAAAATATCCTTAGTATACGGACACCAGATGTGGAAATAATGGGCGCTGAATCTAGTATTAGTAGCTCTCTAGTAGATAACGAGCCTGACGAGTCTTTTGTAAATCAAATGGAACGAGCAATTAAAAATATCCAAGAAAATGTACCCAAGATTTGGAAAAAAAAAACAAGAGCAACATTAAAAAAGGAGTTTCAGTTGTTTGAAGCAACCGCAAAAAGTACGTAAGTTTGGAACTACTGTATAAAGCTTTAAATACAATTAAACCTACATCTGTTGAAAACGAGACTGTTCTTCTTGTCTGTAACTCTATTAAAATTTTTCAAAAAAGCCTTACTCCTCTTAAAAGAAAAACAAAAAAGAATTCCTAATAAAAGTCCCGGTAATTCCCGGACTTTGATATTGTAGAGAATTCCCAAACCCTAATACGCACTTACGCACACATATTTCTTCTTTTTTGCACAGCGTGTAAAAGTTCACTTCTGGACGCACACATATGTACCTGCTTAAAAAAAGATGATGTTGGTTGGAAATGATTTTATATGCATGTACTTGTGCGCGCGATCTTACAAGGAGTTGAGCATAATTTTGGCTTGGTTTTTTTACGTCAATCAAAATGCACGCAGCGCTACGTGTTTCTTTCTTCTTTGGTCTATTCGAAGGTTTATAAATTAGCCGCAACTCACCAAGCAACAAAGGCGGATGCGGCTTCATGTCCTCGCGTGCACAGTGCAAGTAGTTGACTGCGGCCTGCAGGCACGCGGGCACGGAGGCCGGCATCTCGTCAGCCAGCAGCCGCAGCAGCGCGCACAGGAACTCGTCCAGGAACAGCCGGCCCTCGTCCACCAGGTGCATCTGCACGAACTCGTTCGACTTCTTCGCCGGGAACTTCTTGAACACCTCGCGTAGAGTGAACTTGCTCGCCTGGAATGAAGAACTATTTGTGAGTGACAACAAGTTCCATAAAATAAATAATACGATCAAGTCAATTCTCCGTTTTTTATCGCACAAAATATCAATCAAATAAGGAAGGAGTGCCGCCTGTATCCGTAGACTTCTTGCTTTCTTACCAGATCGTCACTCCTACGAGTCACCGAACACTTTGATTACCGGTACGAGGCTGCCACTCTAGTACCTGTCTTTCCCGTCGTTTGTCGATTCTTAGACCTATATAGATGGCCCGTTGCTACTTCAAATTACTGATCCGTTGGTCTACGTCGGTAACTCAGGTTCTACTGCGGATAGATCCTCATTCTTACCTCATTTTTATGTCTAAGAACTTTATAACTAATTCTTTTTTAACTTTTTAAAACTAGAAAAATAAATTGTTTTTACTCACCCGCACAACCGCAGGATTGCTATCACACAAATGCAGCAGGAAGCAAGGCAGCGAACCGACTGCCTGGTCCGCCAGAGCGTCCGAGGAGACTTTGCCCGCGATGATGCCGAACAGCCGTATGGAGCTCTCTCTAAGTTGCGAGCAGTCCGTGTTCATGAATGGACGAATCTTTTGCGATATCGAAAGCAGTTCCCGATCAAACTCTTTATCCAGATGTTCTAATTCCATCAGTAACTGGCTGAGACCTTGAATCGCTGCTAGAGGCACGTTTTCAAGTGGCGACCTAAAGTTTTGGGTAACCATTACAGATGGTTCAAAAATATTATGCTTTACTTATAAACTGGTTATGAACGGAAATGGAACCCTGAACATGGGGTTCAAATGTAAACGCGACTACTGACACGAGGTCTCGAGTTCGAATCCCGGGTCGGATAAACAAAAATTAGTTATTAAGTTTTTCTGTCAAGTAATTAACGTCCGATGTTGGTGTTGTTTTACCCCCAGAACCTCGACAAGCACGTAAAGCCATCAGTCCTGCACCTGATTGCTCTCCGTTTGTGTAGAATTACGGTCCAGTTGGACTATGAGTGTGAAGGAACAGGGAGTGCCTCTGTGCTGGCGCATATACTCGGCCCAGGGCTCCGTCACTCGCTCAAGGTCTCGTGTTATATACCTACCGGCTAGCGTACTCCCGGGAGTACACGTATCAGAGGGATGCCGCGCTTTAAATATATAATTTAACTAATTTTACGTCTTCCAATGTAAGAGTTTCGGGGATATAACGTCACCCTGTCTTACACCTCTCCGCAGTTTGATAGGTTTCGTACTCTGGTTCTGTACTCGGATAGCCATCGTAGCCCTACTGTACAAACACTTCAGCACATCGATATACCGACAGTCAACTTGGCATCACTTAAGGGACTGCTGCACTGCCCAAATTTCGACGGAATCAAAGGATTTCTCATAGTCCACATACGTAAGGCAAAGTGGCAGATTGTACTCTTCGGTCTTCTGTACAATTTGCCGAAGGGTATGTATGTGGTCTATGGTGCTAAAGCCTTTTCGGAAACCGGCTTGTTCGGAAGGCTGGTACTCATCGGAGTCAGCGTGCGAGACGATTTGGAATGACTCTCGAAAACAGCACGTAGACGCGGCTCAGAAGGAAAATCGGTCTGTAGTTCTTCAAGAGAGCGTTGTCGCTTTTCTTGAAGAACAAGACCACCGCACTTCTACTTCACGCCTCCGGAGTAGTCCCACTATGGAGGACGGAATTAAAGGTCTTCTGCAGGACTTCACGTATCGGTTTTCCACCTGCTTTCAGAAGCTCCGCTGTAATTCCATCCTCTCCCGGGGACTTGCCGTTTTTCAGGTGCTGGAGAGCCATTCTAATCTCGCTCAGAGTGACGTCCGGGATATCAGCGGAATAGTATCGGATAAGACTTGCTCTTGGATCGTTATTCACACTTGCGTGTCGCTCCAACGGTGACGTGTACAGCTGCCCATAGAACCTCTCAATCTCACTCAAAATCTCAGGTGTCCCGGAAACCATGCTGCCACATTCGGTCTTCAGCTTCGACAGTTGGCTCTTTCTGGCAGACAGGTCTCTGGCAAAGACTGGAGCCCTGGTTCCACTCGATCGCTTCTTCAATATGAGCAGTATTGAAGTCCTGCCGCATGCGTTTGGAGATCTGTCTGTTCAGTTGCCTGTATGCTGTCAAATCTTTTAAAGACTGCAGCTTCATTTCCATCTAACAGCAGTGAGATTAAGAGTGTGATCGGAGAGTTTTTGTGTTCTTTTGCGGCGGGTCTTGCGGAACCTAGCTTCACGAGAGACAGTTTAGCCAGTTTCCACGAGCTTGTCATTTAAATCGTTCACCACATTGCAGTTTTTTAAGCACTGAAAACGGTTTTGTAACTGAAGCTGAAAGGTTCCGGAACTTTGGATTAGAGCACGAGGAGACAGAGCCTTGACTTTATTAGACGAGACCTCTCCAACTTAATATTTAGGTTCAGTGTGCCTCTACCTATTCGGTAATCGCTACCAGTTTTCACCCTAGCGATCACTGAGACATCACTGAACAGTTGCCGTCTAGTCGTTATAATGAAGTCAATCTCATTTTTTGCGAACTGTCGGGCTCGACTAGGTCCACTTCCTGTGGGACTGCTTTTGGAAGAAAGAGTTCATCATAAAAAGTCCCTCTTTCTCCATGAAGTCGACCAGCTGCTGGCCCCTTAGGTTTAGTTGCTTTAATCTGAAATTCCCTACCTTCAGATCACCGTTCTTTCTTGTGCCTAGTTTTGCGTTGGAGTCTTCCACCATCACCGTATAGTAGGTTTTGGAGGAATGTATGGCATTAGAGATATCCTCATACATTTCCTCCACCTCCTCATCGCGGTGTGACGAGGTTGGTGCGTAAGCATGTATGACCGTCAATGAATACCGTTTGGTGATTCTGAGTATAACGAACGCAATCCTCGTCGACACACTCACAATCTTTACAACGTTAACGAGAGACTTGTGGACGATAAATTTAACACCTCCTTGGGACAGATGGTAGATCTCTTGGTGATAGAACAAGTTGCCAGATTCGAGGATTACCATGTCCTCCTCCTTTCTTCGGGCCTCAGATAATCTTATAATATCTCAGCGCAACTTGTCTTCCAGCTTCAGGATCTTCTCGTCAGACCTCAGGGTGTGTGCGTTGTATGATGCCAGGTCGAGTCGTCTTAGGTGGCAACCGAACCTTTACCGGCGATTCTTAGCATTCCCTGCCCCGCCGTTACTATGGTCACCACCGTAGCCAGGAATAGCGGGGTCGCCGGGGACGGGGTGCTGTCTCTTCGTAATTTTCATCATGGAGGGATGTTTGCCATAATTGCCACGCTTGGCGAGCGGGTTGGCAACCGCAGTTGTTTAATTGTACTATTGCTGTTATCAGAAAGATGCTGCTGCCCATTTACTGCCTGTTTCTATTGATAATGTATGTTGAATTATTTTTTACTTAAACTGAAGTCTCTCAAAATTAAATATTTACTACCAGAATTTATGTGCCAATCAAACACTAGCCAATGATTGTGTGCGGAATGTTCGTGTTCGTAGTTCGTGTACTGACCGTGCGGTCTGCGCATCGACGCCCTGGCTGAGCGCGGCGAGCGCGGCGGGCAGCGCGGCGGCGCGCGGCGCGGGCGCCAGGCTCGCCACGCCCGCCGCGCCGCGCAGCGCCGCCGCGCGCACCCGCCCCGACGCGTCCTTCCAGCCGCTGCTCAGCGTCGCCAAGATCGTCTCCACCAGCACGCCGCCCGCGTCGCCCGCCTCGCACCTGCGCGCCACCACACAACACTATTACTGCTAGCGGAAACTTGCTAAATATAAATATTCTACATATATCGCGTAACATACATACATAAATAACATACACTCGAATTGAAAATCTCGTCCTTTATAGTTGGTTGGTAGCTAGTTGGTGAAACTTAAAGTTGCTAAGAGAACCAAAAACTAAACTAAAACACGCGATGGACAACATGTTTCCGATAACAAACCAATATTAATAAAAAGTACGGTAGGCAACTCGCCTGCCATAAATTGGTAACTATGGCAAAATCTCCCCTATAAGGCGATCTATGGTGAAGTGCGCTGTACGTGCTGTAGGTACCGGTAGTGCAGCAACGCGGCGAGCAGAGCGACGGCGGCGCAGCGCTGCGGCGGCAGCGGCGCGCGGGCGCAGCGCGCCAGGCGCGCCACGCAGCCCGCCAGGCGCGGCGCCTGCGTGCGCGAGAGCGCGCCGCCCAGCAGCGCCGCCAGCTCGCCCAGCGTGCCGCCGCCCTCGCCGTGCTCCACCGACAGGCACAGCGAGCATGCCTCCCTCACCTGCCGTACGTTCGTTGTAGATTTAGCTAGTAGTAAGGCTAATTTCACAGCTATACAGGAGTCCCGTACGGGTAGCCCGTACGGGCTCCCGGAGCGGAAACAGACGTGAGACGCTATAACATCGTTTCACAGCGACGCGAGTTGTTCCGTACGGGACTCGCTCCGCATAGAGCCCGTACAACACCACCCGTGTCCCGCACCCGGACCCCCGTACATGCAGACACGAGCGCACCGCTGCTCATCCATCGTTTCACAGCAATGCGGAGCGCCCATGCTCCGTGAGTACAATCGAGATGAATCGATTAATTGACACGGGATTTGTCATAGACATATATTTATTTCTCATAGATATATATAGACATAGATAGCAGCACGAAACATGTCTTGATGTTTTATTCTGTTCTCCAACCTGGATAGTAGTTCATCAAAACTACTAATCGACATACGAAAATAATCAAAAACTTTGCGCGGATCGTTCCTAAGTTTATAGTTTAAGGTTACAAATGCACTTTCGAAACATCTTGCTTCGACGATGGGATGTACCCATAGTCTCTTTCTCTGTCGTCGTCGTCTCTCACAAATTAAATAAATATCAAGAATGTTTAATACGTTCACATTCACTTTCATTTGCGACTGTCTTCCGCTAGTACCCGTATCGTACTAAACACTCGTTTCAGAGCACTGCGGGCGCTACCCGTAGCGGTCTTCCGCATTACGGGCTACCCGTACGAGACTCCCGTACAGCTGTGAAACCAGCCTTACATTGTTCTATTTTTTTTCCTAGTTTGGCAACTTCCAATGGATTCTGCCAGCGTCAAGTATTTCATAAGAGTCAAACAGAGTATTGACTAGTTTTCGTTTCCGTAGATGCGCTTACTTAGCTTAATGTTACGAACTTACTTATGTAGTTATTTTCGAATGAATTAACATTATAATAGTTTTACAAAATTATTGCTAATATAATAAAATGGATATAGATAAGTGGCAATAGTAATATAATAGTTTAATGTTATTAATGGATATGAAGTCTAATAAAGTTTGTACAAAATGAGTGTAAACTAAATTTAACAAAGACTTAAAATTTACAGGACGAGGGATGTTATTAGGAAGAAAATTGTATAATGAAACGGAGAGGTTAGGGCAGTTAAAAAATTTATGATCGATCGTACCTTCGTCTAATCCACACTCACAAATTGAGCTATCTTTAATATTAAGTTTTGCCAAAAATACAGGTGAACAAGTGTGTCGCAATCTAATTCTACATATGACAGATGTACTATGTTTGGAGCCATTTCTAAATTTAAAAAACCATGGCTTGTTCTATTGTTGGAAAGAACTTTCCGTTCGATCAGTTGACGATCGACTGCAAAAGTCAAATTTAAGACAAAATGTTGTTAAGGAACTTCCTTTTAAGCGCATAGCTTAAATATGGTCCGTGAAATATTTAAATATTTTACCTACTTAATCGTTTTAAGGGGCTACTCCTAGCGAACGACCTTGAGCATTCGGTCCGCCGACTCTCGCTACAATATAAGTAAAGCGTAAGAAATATCCAAGACGCCACCTACTGTACGAACGTAGTATTATTTTTTCAAAATCAATAAACTATTTTATGGAAATACACACGGCGTACAACGATAAATGTATTTTAATTTTTTTACTATACCTACTAAGATATTGTGGTTAGGTATTAGGATTATTTTTAACTGTATACTATACTGATAATATTGAATTAGCTTTTTATAGTGTAAGTTATAATATTTGTCGTAATGTTAATTATGGATTCGAACCTTAATGGTGCTTCATTTTTATATTTGCATTTACTTCAAAGAAAATACACGCAAAAAGCTTAATCGCGCAGTAAAAAACACAACAAATATATGTATAACTAATACGAAAAATTATACCCAAAACAAACAAAATAATACTACCTATAAATAACCTAATAAGTAATAATAATATTGTTACGAGCTTGGGGTTCGAGACGGGGAAGTAGTCCATCACAACCATGAAATACTTGTTACCACTCTCACTTTCCGGAAACGGCCCCGCAACGTCAATAGCTATCCTCTCCCATGGTGCACCAACATTGTACAATTTCAATGCGCCTCTACTACGAGTTTGAGGTCCCTTTACAGCTGCACAACTTGTACATTTGCGGCACCAGACCTCGACATCGTCACGACAGTTGAACCAGTAAAGCCGTTCTTGGATCTTCAGTAGAGTTCTTTTAGCTCCCAGGTGGCCTCCTGAACAACCACTATGGTACAGCTGTAGAACATCCGGCACTTTAGCCTTAGGGACAACCATTTGCAAATGACAACTGTCTCCCCGACTATTTTCCCATTTACGGCACAGGACTCCATCCTGAATCAGCAAGCTGTCCCATTGGGCCCAATAGCTTTTCGTGGTCGAACTCATCGCTGCGACGTCGCTCCACTTGGGCTTAAGAGCACTGGCCTTCATCCATTCCAAAATCGGCTTAATGTCCGAATCTTTCTGCTGTGCATGTTGTAGGCTGTCCTTCCACTCATTGCTGAGCTGGTTTGTCCTGAGTATCCTCACAGATACCACTTCCTTACCCTCTTGCCTAGTACAAACAGTGGTAGAGCCACGCGGCAGCTTTTGCTGTCGCACGGATGGGCCGGCTCAAACCGGGGTGGTACCACGACCTCACAGAATACCAGCGTGAAGTAGAGGTTTACCTCTGCGTTTCGCTTGGTGAGTGCAAGTGGCCGGAGGCCCTTTTTACTGGAAATGAGGCATTCCATCTTAGTCCTCACGGGTGGCAACGCATCTGCATTTTGATTCGCAAACGAGGATAGATGTAGATGTCTATGGGCCGCAGCAACCACTTACCATCAGGTGGACTGTGTGCTCGTTTGTCACCCTTATCCTATAAAAAAAAAACAATGCTTGCAATCTTCAGGACACGGTCTTCTTGACAATGTATCTGCGTTGTCATGAGATTTTCCGCTGCGCTGGGCGGTGCTGTTAGCCGCACTACCCTCTCGAGATCGATCACCTTCCCTTTCTACAGTTCGCTTAGGGCAGCTGAATCGAAGATGGCCCCTTTCCCCACAGCCGTAGCACCTAGGCCTGTATCCTTTATTGCGGTCACGAACTGTAGCTGCTGCAACCTCACTGACGCGATAGGAACGATGATCCTGTCGCACGGCTTCCACCTTCAATGCATGGGCCAACGCGTCCTTAAGCGTCTCGTGGTGCCCGAGCCTCACAGCAGCTCTGGCTTCAAGGTAGCGGATGTCGTCGATGAATGACTGCACCATGTTCCCTACAATGAGCGCAGGTGCAGACTGGTATGCTTTTCGAACCCGCTTCTCCACCTCAAGGGCCCACTGCTGCAGGTTTTCGTTACTGCGTTGCACGCGATCTTTGAGCTGCGCCCGAAAGACGTGTTCCAGGTGAGCGTCGCCATATCTCGCCTCCAATGCCTCAGGAAGCTGCTCGTAAGTCACTTCCTTACCGAGATCTTTCAGAACAGTTAAGGTCTGGTCGCGCAGGCCTAGGGTGAGAGCAGTCATGGCCTGACTTTTATTCCAGCCGTTCGCCTTCATGACAGCCTCGAATTGGATTTTATAGGCCAACCAGGAAGAAGTCCCGTCGAACGGCGGCACTTTGAATCCACGTAGCGAAAGTGTTGTAGCTATCACGGGAGCTGTAACTCCATCCCCAATTTTGAGGTCGTCCAGCGTTTTCTTCACGTCAACCATCACGTTGTCAATCCGATTGTTCACTTGGTCGATTTGGGTTTCAGCTTCCAACAGGCGGTTGCCATGTTGAGCAACCCTATCCTTCACCTCCTTTATCTCTTTCCCGAAGGTAACGTGAAGGTCCTTCCTGAGGAGCATCTGCTCTTCCATACCGCGCTGCAGCTGCTCTTCCAACCGACGGGTCTGTTCCTCCTGTCGGCGAGCCTGATCCTGCAGCATTATCATCAGAGCACCTAAGTCAGGTGCTGCAGATGCAGGAGCTGCTGACGGGCCGGCCTCCGTGGTCAGCAGCTGGCCCTCCGACGTTTGCGGCGTTGCATTACCAAATCGTCTCTAGTCCGTCTCCAGCTGGCGTTGACTTTGGGTACGGATACCCTCCATATCGTCCTTTGGTAAAATCGGCATGATTTGACCCCATTTCTGACACCAATTGTTACGAGCTTGGGGTTCGAGACAATTAAAAACTGCCTAGTGAATTACCAAAATTGACACTTTAATTACACAACACTAATTACAACTTAAAATCACACTAATAATAAAACACAGTTGTAATCACTTTAGTTCGCCGTTATTTCGCTTCGAAGTATTCTCTTGTATCGCCAATTCAATACTGCCTCGGTCGTGGTCTATACCGGCCTTATATAGGGCCTCAGATAGTTTCCAGAACCTTCTACTGTAGCGATATCTAGAATGCTTGAGTACATATCGGTCCCGAAATTTCTAGAAGGATCTTGACTCTCCTAGTTCTGCTATTCGGCACTAGAGGGCGCTAGTGGGACCTAGTGTTGCCATATACAAGACATTAATAGTGGCGCGCAACAATATTATCGACTGATAAGATGACGTGAGCGAGCATGTGCGCTGGCCGACGCCGTGACTAACGACACGGGTTTTACCTTCAAGAGCTTAGCCCTCACTGACTCCAGCAACCCCGTGGGCAGTGAATACGACCAGTTTTTTTAAATAATTTCTTAATAAAATCAAATTTTGGTCTTTTGAAAAAAATTTATGATAGAAATGTTCATTAATAAATTGCCTATCCATTAGTGTAAATCGCAAAATAAAAAAATGCTTACTTTTCGAGGAGATGCATATTATCAATAATTATTTCACATTTATGTGGTTTCGTTGTAAGGAGATTATTTTAATATTATACGTGGTAGAGCGATGCTGCAGCTATATTATGGTTGTAGCACGAATGGGTCGGCTCGACCGGGGAAGGACCACGCTCTCACAGAATACCAGCGTAAAATAGTAGCTTAACGCTGCTGTGTTTCGTATGGTGAGTGTAGAGAACCGGAGACCCCTTTTACTGGAAACGAGGCATTCCATCTTAGTCCTCACGGGTGACAACGCATCTGCATTTTGATCTTTAATCGAAGATAGATGTAGATGTCTATGGGCCACAGCAACCACTCACCATCAGGTGGACTGTGTGCTCATTTGTCACCCTTATCCTAAAAAAAATATTTATACCTTTTAAAAAAAATTGGATATGACTTATGGAATCAAGATTATGTAGAAATATAATATGTTTTTTATTAGTTGACATATCTTTTTAATAAAAAGTAGATAGGTCCAAAAACCGCACAAATAACAACTAGCGCGACATTTTGCTCAACCATGCGCCTTAAATAACACGTTTGTGGCGGCGCTGTCGTCGCACTACAAGCGAAACACATTGAAGCCTAAATCGCACTAACAAAGTTCCGAAGTTAAAGCAGCATATATAGAATAGCTCCGAACTATCAATCGGAGCGTTGGTCGCTCCCAGGGCAGAACACCTTGCCCGGCGGGAGATCTCCCCTTTTCCTTCCACCCGCCACACGTTTATTACTTTTTAAATAATACTGCGAATTAATGCTTCTTTTAAGTTTATTGTAAAATTATGTTAAAAGTTCTGATTAAAATTTAATGTGAAATTAACATAGTTTTTTCTTTCACTTTATGGTCCCTGCCCCCTGCAAAGAAATCAATGTGGTCAAAAAAAGGTAGGGGAACCCTGCCCTACTACGTGCAATATTTTCTAACCGGTATTTAAAAAGAAACCAGCTATTCGTCAATAATTATAAATGTAACGCGTGTGCACATGATGTCACTATAATATCTTTACAGCATGTATTTGTTTCACATACACTACTACGGCTGTGTTCCCGATATCTACCGGGTGTTTTTGAAATGCTCCCGAAAACAAAGACAGGCGATAGTACTAACGATACCTTTGATCATGTGCTGGAAGAAAATTGATGCCGAGGAAAAAAAATTATTTTTTCACAACGTTTTATTATTTTTATTCACGCTCCATCATGTTAGTACAGCTAAATGAAACGATAATTCTATATAAAAAATAAAAAACATAAAAATACTTAAACATAAAACCAGCAGTGGAACTTAAATAAAATCAGCTGACCATAGGGTTATTGATCCCATTGTCGCGCGGAACTGACGCCGAATCCACGCGGCCCGCAGCCAGCTATCGTACGATCGCTAGCTGCGGGCAATACTGCAAATACGGACATACTGCAATACCTAATTATTTACAACACTTATCTAAATACCTAACTTATCAACCTACTTAACCTACTATTTTGCGACTGTGCTAGTCTCCAACTAGCCACTTTGATTCGAATTCACAGATTAAATAAACCAAACAAAATTAAATTTAAAAAAAAGTTAAATTTTAACAACGCTTCAACACTTTGTGCACTGCACAGTATGACACACTTGTTCCATCTCGACGTCTCAACAATATAGCGATACTTCGTGTACCTAAGTTCGGATACCTAACATGTTGCCGTATTCACAAGCACTATAAACGTACGCGTTAAGCATTATTAAAACAAAAAACGTAACAACAAGAATAATACCAACACGTAATAACAAGTAATACCAAGTAATAACAATAACAATTTAATAAACAAAACGATTGAACTATCGCTCGCGCACGCGTGTACAAAATCAACACGGAACTGTCTCAAAAACTAAAATTAATAACGAACCCCGCCAAAACTGAAACCTACTGCGTCCACAGCGTGAGGCGACACCAGCGGGCCGGGTGAGGTATTGTTTCGCACCGAGCTAGATACAGGTCTACAGTGGAGGGAGTGTAGGTACAGTCGCGTCCTAAAGTACTACATGGTATTAGGCTATTGTTTCATCATATTATAGTAATTAATTGTTTTATTGTAGAATCATAATAGGTGTTTTACTAGCTTCCGTCATCAGGTCGATCACATGGTAATTTTTTCGGTATTCTTCCTCAACACTTTTAACTTTATTGCACAATTTTCCCCATTCACCTTCTTCTATCATATTTACCTTTTCGTTCACTAGTTCAGTCATAAAACAATAGATATAAATAATTTTGCTTTCCTTCCTTTTTAAAACCATCGTCACGAGTCGCAAAGTAAGCTGTGTATGCGACTGTATTTTGGGAGCGAACAAAGCGCGGGAAGCATGACCCAATAGCATGCGGGCACAGTAATACTGGCGGATTGTTCCCCCGTCACGCCCCCTTCGTACCACTCAGTGATCAATCGCTCAGTGCCCAGGTTCAAGAACAGCGTTCTTTTTACGTGACGGCACAGAATAAATAAGTAGTGACGGAACCTATAAGAGTTCGGCGTTCGCGCGTACATTGACCTCTAGTCAGCTGATTGCAATTCAGTAATTTCACTGCTGGTTTTATGTTTCAGTATTTTCATGATTTTTTATGAAATTATCCTTTCATTTAGCTGTACTAACATGATGGAGCATGAATAAATCTACTAAAACGTTGTGAAAAGATGATTTTTTTTTTCATCAGAATCGATTTTATATTTCACCTATCATCAAAAGTATAGTTGGTACTGTCGTCTGTCTTCGTTTTCGGGAGCGTTTCAAAAATACCCTGTATATTAACCCAGATATATATAATCAAAACGGGGTACACTACTCCGTTTTTATTTCTCTTTAGTTATTGACTCGTAAAATTAGTATTAGTACATTTGCTAAAGTCGATGTATTGGAAGTTTTATTATCTTTTATTATATATTATTATTATTATTATTATTAATGCACGGAAGGCACCGAAACAAGCACCAACTTAAAAACCAAACCGAGTGGAATAAAAATTATTAAATGAATATAAGATTATAATATACACTAATTTGCAAAAAAAAACGGGAGGTTTAAATTTATTTCCAGCCTGAAATAAATACAATACGAAAAAGTTTTGATAATTTGTACATATTACTAGCCGGTTATAAAAGTGCTGTGGTGTTTAAAAAAGTACGTTCCAAATTCAAATTTTTGTCTGAGGCTGGTTTTCAAAGAAAACAAGTTTCTACTACATTTTGTGGCGCAAACACGCCTAAAAGTTAGTATGGTATTAAAATATTTTTGCGTTTAGCGGTCTCGAAAATCGTAACTAAAGTGATAAAAGCCAGCTAATTAATTGGGCGACAAATGTGAGTCGTTAGACAGTTCTAAAAAGACCTGGCAGCGCTATCAAGAGACCGGTTCCATCAAGAGAAGACATAGTTCTGGAAGAAAGCCATGTACCTAACCGCGGGTGTTATTTTTTGGGCACAAATAAATTTGTTGGATCGTACCAAGCTAGTCTTCATCAAAAGCGGCACACTGGCTGGATACCGATACACAAAGGCTGTTCTTATTCCTCATGCACAACCCACATTAGCCGCCCTTGGCTAAAACTCAATTTTTATGGAAGTATACGCTCTCACCCTCCGGTCTGGCGACATGGAAGCGTGTTTGCTAGAGGTCGGAATACGTCGTTTCGATTGGTCAGCTTTGATCCACACCAAAATCCCATAGAGAGAATGTTCTGAAGCGACGAGTGAGTTCAGTTCATCTTGCTCTGCAGACCATCAGAGAGCTAACGAATATGATTACCGAGGCGTGGGAACGTATTTCGCAAGAAACCATAAGAGATAACTCGCTAGCTTGCCCAGATGAGTGCAAGCTGTGAGGGAGGTCTCACTGCTTACTAAATTTTTATCTGCTTTACTTTAATTAAAGAAAAAGTAAACCAAAAAAGGTTTACTTAGCGAGCAGGTGGTACACTATTAGCGCTTTGAACATTAATATTACTTCTCAATTATTGAATCAATATTTTATAATAAAACTAACGAAAACTATTTCTTGCTAACTAATTTACAAAATTCTGAGTATTAGACTACCTAAACTTATCAAACAATTTATTAGTAACAATAAAAGTGGTTTTTTGCTTAGGCCCGTTTTATCTTTTTATAAGAGTACTTTATCAGCGTCAATTCACTAGAGCACAATATAATGATTACCTTGTGACAATCCGACAATTCCAAGAAAGCATTGAAGGTAATGACAGTGATCTTAGCCGGGGATAGTTTGATCGCCTCTCTGTTAGGTATGAAGCCAATCCGCTCCTGGCCTTTGTTGGAGGGCACAGAATAAGCCGGAGGCTCTGCCTCTAAATAACATGCCAGTGTCGTGTAGAGTACCGAGAATAAGTCCGAGAACTTGGCGTTACATATTGGTTTCATTGCGTCCACTTGAAGCATTTCACCCAGTGCACTAATTAGCTGAAATCAAATGTATATATGTGAATATGAATACTGAGTAAGACTGTAACGTAGTTTAAAAGATGAATGACATTGTTTCATAACTCACTGTCAGCGGCTGGAGCGCTGCAATGTGATTTTCAGTAATGTGATAAGGATCCTCGTACAATTCGATCGAAGTCATTAAACGCAAGAAGTTATCTATGACCGCCTCTGCTAAACTTACGTCCTTTGCCAAATTTTGCCAACAAGATACGACGCATCTGATGGGGAAGAAATTGAAAAATAATTAAGGCAACCTAATAACAATTTTTCTATTATTTTATTTTAGACATATTTTAAATATAAATAAAGTACTAAAAAAATTATACAATTAACAATATATATTATACATATACAAATAAAATCATACATCATACAATATATAATAAATCCAGAAATTGTTTAGGAACGGTTGAAGTTAAGCAAAAGTAAAGTTGTAACACTAAAATCGGTTAAACGGTTTCAGAGATTAGCGTGAACAAACATAGTGACGCGGAATTTTTATATATTATTATGATACATATATATATATATATATATATATATATATATATATATATATATATATCAATAACTTACGGCTTTAAAGGCAACTTCTGTGCTAGCAGAACTGCCGTGACGGCGTTAGAGTGATGCTTTGTTAACGACGTAAGTGGCAACATCAACTTCGACCGGGCCTCCTCACTGACTTCGTCCATGGTTGTTAACATAACCTCCACTATTCTCTCAATATTTTGATATAAATCCTGGCCTTTCTTTATAAACAAAGCGTTTAGTACTGCACTTATGCCAACACTTCTATACTCCTGAGAGTCGTACCCTTCTAACAAGCTTTCAATAAACTGCATTGTGTAGTGATGGGGAATTTTAGGGGATATCGTGTCACACAAAATCATGCAGTAATCATAGATCATGTTAAGGTCATTTGTCAGTATATTGTTTTGCAGGTGAGCCAGACTGGCCATGCATTCATCATCCGCTTCAATGATATGACCTTCGTACAGGTCTTGTATCTGAATTATCAATTTGATGCAGTCCACTGTAGTCAATCTTACTGGGAAGTTAGTGTCGGCTACGCCTGGGACTAGAAGACCAAGCAAGTACCCCAGCTGCCCAAACTTACTCGGCGTTTCATAGTTAAGCTTCACATTTTTGATGTACGAGTCAAAAACCACTTGTAGAATTTGCATCGCCGCAGTTCGAATTTCATCGTTTTCGTTACGTATCCATTCTATTAAGAGACCAACTAGATCATCTATTGTGCTTAAGCAAGTTGATTGTATTATTAGTTCCCGTATTAAATGATGAAGCAGAGTCAATGAGTCGTTTAAAGTTTTCGCCAGCAAGTCGTTTTTCTCTCCGTTTCCTTCTAATTCATATTTACTCTTGAAAGACGCTAACTCTCCAAAGATACTGTTAAATAAATTTCGAAGGATGGTATTCCTTTCTTCTGGCAATATTCCTTTTTGAAGCTTCGTTAATGCTTTCGATGCTTTCACAATTATAGGGTATAATTCTACATTACGTTCGTCCAGATTAGAGTTGTAAATTTGTGATAGTACAGCATTTAACAGCTGCCACCGATTTCGAAGTGTAACGTTATGGTGTGAAGCAGGATACAGCGCTTTACAAATCTCGTAAAGAGCCGTAATGCTTGCTTTACATAAATCAAAGGGAGGGTTATGCTTTAGGGTTTCGTGAAGTATTGAAGTAACATTGTCACCGAGTCGTGCTAGAACATGTACGTCGAGGCACTCGCTTGCTATTTTGCCATAGGAGCATATAGCGGCATATTTTACAAGGGCTATTTCCATTTCGCTCTTAGAATGTTTTGAAGCTAGGAAGTTAAAAAATTTATTACCCCTTTTAGCTTCGTTTTCTTTATATATCGCGTCAAGTTCATTCATAACAACTTCGCCATGTTGTCTGGAAGCAATACCTATTGCTTTACTAACGTATTCGCAACTTTCCATTGGAATGGATTTTAAAGCAAACAATATTATTTTTAATACTTTCTCCACGACCGCAGCGTTCGTCATATGACAGGATAAAATTGCCAAGTACTGTAATGATACACCTTTTATCATTGGTGACTGTTTCTTCGATAGAACTTGCTGCGACAGTAGTGTTGCTATCGTCTCGACCCATTTATTACTATTTACCTGCTCAACAGCAGCCACCAAAAGATCCAATAACATCCCATGCCATTGATCTTTAGACTCATTCTTCTCGACAAACTTTAATAATCTTTGAATTTCAACCGTCCATGAATTCTTTAAATTCTTATGAATATCCCCCGAGTATTCCTCTAGGAATATCAGTAAGTTTTTGTTTTTTTCCTTATCATTTGGATCAACTATATGTGTTATGCATCTAATAAAAACTAAATCAGGACAGCATTTATCTTCCACTGATTTTTCTGTTGGTTCATCAACGATAATGTCTGAATTATTCTGTAACAACGAAGTTAAACAATGGCTGACAGCAGACATAGAGGCTGTTAATTCATCAGTGGTTAACGCCGTAAGTAATAGATTTCTCAATTGTGATCTCACACTTGTCACTGTATTGCACATAAGTATTAATGAACTTCTGCAAGTATCATGTAAATCTACAATGTCATGCTTTGGAACATTAGCTGGCCCTTCGTAGCCGCAGTGTTTGATTATGAACTCGATCATAGCGAAATCTTCAGAAGTTGTGATGCAATTTCTATACACCAATCCTACGATTGCTTTTACAAGTAATTTCTTCATTTTGACGCCTTGCTCCATAACTGTCATCACTTTTAATATAGCTATAAATTTTCCAGCGAAGCTATCGATAAAGACTTGTGACGACGTTGTCAAATGAGTTAGTATTATTACCGCTTTCATTCTGTCTTTCTCGTGATTATTTTTACACTGATGCAGCAGACTCTCTATAGTTTGGTCTGGGAACTGCCCAGCCATATGGTCAAAACATCTAAGAACTTCGAAATGGTTTTTTACCGTATGGGGCTGATCATAATCTGGCTCAAAAAGAACCAAATTGAATATAGTGTTGTTAATGGAATTTATAACATTATCGTTTAAAATCAATTTAGGGTTTAAAGATGACGGTGATAGAAGGTAGGAAATGCATTGACTTATGTAATAAGAGTTTATAGTCGACTTTCGATACAAAGACAGCAATGAAAGTACGAATTTATTGACGGTTTCATTAAATTGCCTTTCTGATATAAGCCTTGTAATTGGTCCAAGTGCTTCTAATATTGATTCTGATACTTTATGTTCGTGAGATGAGAGCCACTGATTGTACAGTACATCGAATATTATGGAGAATTCCGTAACAAAATTTTCTTTTATGGTTGTTATGTTGTCGTTCTCTACATTGTCACCAATTTGTTCCGCAACGGCAACTGCAAAGTGTCCGAACGCTGTAAAGGAAAGTATAATCTTAATTATAATATTATATGACAGTTACTATAAATTACAAGAAGAGTGCAATAACAATAATGATACAATAATATTTGTAGATTCAATCAGTAATAGTAAGTACCGTATGCGAAAGCTTGTTTGACGCCATCTTGTTTTACAAGAGTCAACAATGGAAGCATTTTGCTCAGAATCTCCTTAATATGCGGCACCACGCCCTGAGTGTTCACCGCAGCAAGGGTACCCAAAGTATGAATGATAGTGTAATGCGGCACAGACGCTGGGGATAGCTGGTCAATGAGTAATCTGAGGACCTAGAAAAATTATAAAATTATTAATTATTTCACTTATCTGCAACCAAAATATTATTATTATAAATTTTATCAATAGCTTCTCGCGATCAAGATTTTTAGTTGTTCAGAGACCTGGAACTCATATCAGTCACATAAAAACAACTTCAGGTGAATACGCGCCAGCTAGAGATATTGTTAATTTAAATTAAGTCTTGAATATAAAGGGAGAAAAAAATGTTTATCTCGTTTAATAACAGATGAAATTTAAAAACATAATTCACGCGTTGACAACACGCACAGTTTTTTTAAAAGATTAATTGATATTGGCATTTGGCCATTTGGCACTAAGAAATTCCTTTTAGAGGTCTCGATGACTCCGAAATTTCTTTATAAGTAATATTTATTTCTTAATTTAACGAAAACGAGACCCTGTTATTTATATAAAAAACGTAACGACATTATTCTTTCCATTCCAAATTTTTATTTAACTCCCAAAGTTAATAAGAGAGACTCAGAGAGCTATAACGCATAATCCTCTGATATCGCTATGGAAATGATATTCAAGGGCCATTTACTCTTAAGTTTTATTAATATGTGCGTAAGTAGCACATCAGAAACATATGTAAATATGAAATATAATAATGTATAATATAATAAAATATGTATGTATGCAATAATAAAAACACTATGTAACTGTAACATTATTCCAATGAGCTTCGTTGAGGTCGTTATCACTTACGATACACAAGTAACTTGTAAATGCAATACGGAGTGTCTACCTGGATCATATGGACATCCACTTATTGATTGACTACACTACTAGACTGAGGATTAAGATGGAATGACTCGTTACCAGTCTCAAAGGATCAAAATGAGTCTCCGGTTCTCGTTACGTAGGTGTGAATGGGCCCCAACTAGGGTTACTAACTCTCTAAAGCACCACCCTGTGAGAATTTTATGAAAATTTATTAATTTTTAAATTTATATTTACTTTGCTTTCGTGCAGCATCAATATTTTTTGGGTTTTTCACCACAAGATCATAAAAGATTTTACATGAAAAATCGAAGTCTCGTAGTACTTGTAACTCTGCTTTTACTAAAAAAATACGAATTCGGTTTCTTTCCTTACTCCGTGCTTGTTCCATCATGCTAAAAACGAGCTCGTAAGAGGCATTAGAGAGAGAAATGCAAAGAACAAATTTGACCATGACAGGGATTTTTCTCTTTCGATTTCATAAAGAAGTCAACCCAGCGTAATTCTACTCGATTTTCTTCAGCGAGCTGTGGTTGAATCTCACGCAAAAATAGTCATACAGTTTGTCACATGTAATTCAATATTTATTGCATGCCTTAAGCGAAAGCGCAAGGTATGTTCTACTATCGCCTAAAAATTAAGATTCCAACGTTTTATCGAATGAAATCGTATCTAGCAATCATATTATACATATAAATGATACAAAAAGTACATTGTTAGAAAAATAAATGATTGTTGAACTTATTAATATTTTTTTAAATCGATTAATTGCTATTTTTAAATAAAAAAAGGGGTTTTAGTAGCTTATGGTGTGGATTTATCAAGTCCTTAGGCTTGTAAACACGATAACTTTTGAAAAATTCAATTGTTTAACTCAATCTATTTTTTAATCTCTTCATTTATCATGTGGGAAGCCACTGAATGTAAATGGCAGTGTAATTTTGTTTTGTTTAGCTATAATTAATTTTTTTTCGTCTCCAAAATTGCGAAATTTTCGTTGATTTGGTAGCCTTGTATGTAAATTATTTCTGTAAATAGGCGGAAGCCGCACTCTGAGCTACAGCCACAGAGTACTTTACTCATTAACTCACACTCATCTTCTCCTTAATAACTGGCTTTACGGCTTTAGGATCTAGCCTTTCTGAGCCTGAAGTTACAATATATTATAATAATTATCCTTCATAGTATACTGCTTCACAATATGTTGATGGGTCATATTGTGCAGCCCTTGGGAGATTTTGATGGCAACCTGAGACAGCAGACAGCTGACGGTTGGCGATGGTATCTCAAGGCGCCTAAGTAGACAGACTTATTTTGAGAATCACATCAACATCAGAGCACTTGTTTCACAGTTTCCACTAATAGTTCACATGCGCAGACACTTAATACACAAAATCGCACCACTTTTACATATCAAAGTCCACTTCAAACCATTATTTAAACAATAATACAGGAGCAGCAAACCGCCGCCGGTCAAGTTCCCGCCAAAACTCCTCACTCACACTCAACTCAGTTCGGCGCGCAGAGTACTTGTTCCGAACAAGTGCTGCCATATTTACAGATTTATCTGTGTTCATACAGATTTTTGAACCTCATTACAGATAACAGATTTAATACTACTTTTATACAGATTTTTGAAATTTGTACTTTTTGTACATAAATACTTTCTAGGATCGCCTTTCATCTCATCAGTCTACTCGATAATATCTCGCCTGTGTGTAAGAGGCTTAACAATAACAGCTAATAAACAATAAAAATGAATGCTGTTACTCTTTCTCTCCAGACAAAACTATGTTGGTTTAAATTAACAAAGAAATATATAAATTTAAATAAATATTTCTATAATTTTAATTGTTTTTTATCACATCTTCTACCCTCAACTTACATAGGTCAAAATCTTTTACTTTGATTCCTTTCTATAGATATTGTACAAATTTTTTACACTAGCAGCACAGATTCATACAGATTTTCTTTGATTCCTTTCTACAGATATTATACAGATTTTTTTAACATTAACAGTACAGATTTGTTAAACTGACATGTGGCTGCACAGCTTGTTCGCCGTCAGTCACCGTCGTGAGTGGACATTGTTTCGGTTGTTTGCAGCGGCTCAAAAAGATCGCTGTACAAATACACAATATTCGAATAACCAAATTTCTTAAATACTTGATTATAATAATAATAAGAGATTTTTTTATTACAATATTTTAAAAGCACATAATAAATAATAGTAGTACGCACTAAAAGTAAGTAGTATCAATTTTTTTGTCATGGGTGACATTTCATGGTTTTCGAGGGTGTTGAAGCCGATAGTGCTGTCGAAATGTAAATCCAAGATGGCGGCTGCAATAGGTATCAATTTTTTCATCATTGGTGTCATTTTCATGGTTTTCGCGAAAGTTGAAGCCGATATTGCTGTCGAAATGTAAATCCAAGATGGCGGCTGCAATAGATATCAATTTTTTCATCATGGGTGTCATTCTCATGGTTTTCGCGGGTGTTGAAGCCGATAGTGCTGTCGAAATGTAAATCCAAGATGGCGGCTGCAATAGGTATCAATTTTTTCATCATTGGTGTCATTTTCATGGTTTTCGCGAAAGTTGAAGCCGATATTGCTGTCGAAATGTAAATCCAAGATGGCGGCTGCAATAGATATCAATTTTCTCATCTTGGGTGTCATTTTCATGGTTTTCGAGGGTATGAAGCCGATAGTGCTGTCGAAATGTAAATCCAAGATGGCGGCTACAATAGGTACCAATTTTTTCATCATGGGTGTCATTCTCATGGTTTTCGCGGGTGTTGAAGCCGATAGTGCTGTCGAAATGTAAATCCAAGATGGCGGCTGCAATAGGTATCAATTTTTTCATCATTGGTGTCATTTTCATGGTTTTCGCGAAAGTTGAAGCCGATAGTGCTGTCGAAATGTAAATCCAAGATGGCGGCTGCAATAGATATCAATTTTCTCATCTTGGGTGTCATTTTCATGGTTTTTGAGGGTATGAAGCCGATAGTGCTGTCGAAATGTAAATCCAAGATGGCGGCTACAATAGGTACCAATTTTTTTTGTCATGGATGTCATTTTCATGGTTTTCGAGGATGCTCAAGCCGATAGTGCAGTCGAAATGTAAATCCAAGGTGGCGGCTGCAATAGGTATAAATTTTTTCATCATGGGTGTCATTTTCATGGTTTCCGATGGTGTTGAAGCCGATAGTGCTGTCGAAATGTAAATTCAAGATGGCGGCTGAAGTAGGTACCAATTTTTTCATCATGGGTGTCATTTTCATGGGTTTCGAGGGTGTTGAAGCCGATAGTGCTGTCGAAATGTAAATCCAAGATGGCGGCTGAAGTAGATACCAAGTTTTTCATTCGAAAAAACATTCGAAAACCAATGTGCTCTTAAATGGGGAGGAGTTGAGTCTTGTGGATACCACTGTTTTTCTCGGTATTACTATTGACGCGAAACTTCAATGGGGCCCCCATATATCTAAATTAGCAAGCAGACTTAGTTCTGCAGCATATGCTGTAAGAAAGATTAGACGTCTCACAGATGTTGAGACAGCTAGGTTAGTGTATTTTAGTTACTTTCATAGCGTAATGTCTTATGGAATTTTGCTATGGGGTAATGCGACTGATATTGAAGCTATATTTGTTTTGCAAAAGAGAGCCGTACGGGCGATTTATAGTCTAAATTGTAAAGAGTCCCTTAGAGAAAAATTTAAAGAAATAAACATATTAACTTTGGCATCGCAATATATTTATGAAAATGTAATGTATGTACATAAAAACATAAATAGCTTTAATAAGAATAAGGATGTTCATACCTTAAACACTAGGAACAAACATAAGCTAGTAATGCCACTTACAAGACTCCACAGAATTAGTAATTCATTTATGGGGCAATGTATACGCTTTTACAACAGAATCCCAGAACATGTTCAAAGTTTGTCAATAAACAAGTTTAAAAGTTTTATTAAAGAAAAACTGTACAAAAAGGGTTATTATAATATCAAGGAATACATGAATGAAAATAAGCCCTGGGAATAAGGTGATCGCCACCATGCTGGTTCTATGAAAATTCATTTAAAATTGTATAAACAAAATTATTGTTAAGTGAAATTATGTTTAAAAAAAAAGTCCCGCTGGGTTTCTTGCTGGTTCTTCCCAGGACAGAGGTATTTTCCGAACCAGTGGTAAATAAAATAATGACTTTCAATAAGTATTATGTAATAATCCATACTGAATAAAAATCATTCTATTCTATTCTAT